GGTGCTCATTATATATATATATATAATAGATTTTGTAAAAAGTGCTTTTTTTAGAGAATATGAGATTAAAAAGTGAAAAAATAAATATGATTTATGTGGGAAAAAAAATCTTTGAAAAATTTATTGTTAAAAATGAATTTAGATGAAAATGAGCTTCAAAAAAGCAAGATTCAAAAAGGGAAAGTTTCAAAATAAAAGCATCTCCACATCAAAATCTTCTAAAAATTTGACGAGCGATCCACTCAATTGTAGGCATATCAACAAAGCAAAATAGTAGTACTGTTGGCAGACAAGATTAGACTACTCGTGAGTAAATTTAAGCAAATACTGATTTGATTAAAATTATAAAAGACACGTCTCGCTAAATAACTCGTGATTCCAAAAAGCTTTTCTCACACATAATTTACTTAAAAAGTTGACATCTCCCTATCATCGATCTCCACATTCTAACCATTCACTCCAACCAACTGATCACTGCTATCTTATTTCATAAACAAACACACAATTTCATTTTCGCAGTTAAATCGACCACCAACCAACAGTGATGTCGCTCGCTAAATTTCCTATCTTGAATTCTAAGAAATCTCAATTCCGTTTCCAAACATGGCCTAAAATTTTGTAACTTGAAAAAAAAATAATAATAATAATTCAAAGAGCTTCCCAAAAAGTGAATATCACGTTATTCTAATGACCTTCACGGATTTCAAAACGGCACGAGCCTCCTGGTATGGCAGGTCTCTTCATTCCCACCCATTTCTTCAATATTTTACAATTAAAACCCATAACCAATAAAACACAAACAAATTCAAATGTTATTATCCCAACTTGTTTACATACGAGGAAACACGAAACAACTAGATAAGCATGCACCTGACATAATATAAAATACTACATAAAATTTTATTTAAAAACTACAAGGATGTTTGCCCCTTTCTATTAAAATAAAGAATGGGCAAAATGTACTCAAATGTCCAAAATAAAAACAATACAAACAAAATCTCCTATTATCAATATATATTTACGTTAGGATTTATTGATGTATCATGCTTAAAAGCGACTTTTAACTATTTTCTTTACTGCATATACTACCAAAATGAAGTGGATAAGCTAACTTTTGAGCACAACTGAACATCCAATCGTTTAGAGTTTTTCCTTGAGAAGGGCGGCTAATCCAGTGATCGTTCCTTTGTTTGCCCTCTTCACCTTCACCGTTGGCGGTTGCCACATACTCTCCGGAAGAGCCTCCATGGGGTCATTCGCCTCCGATAAAATCATTTCTTCGCCAAAAATCAAATCCAATTCTCCGCCTTCGGTAGGTGAGGGAATTGGGTTAGATTCGGAATTAGCTTCGGTTGGCTCCTCGATCGCGATGGGAGCGCTTTGGGTGTGTGGGCCGAGCCATTTTGATGTCATATATTCGGCCTTGCGCCACGGGGCTACATGCATCCCTTTCTTATTAAGGCTATGCCGTGCAGCCTCTGATACAATGGAAACAATTTGGAGAAGCCGATCGGATTTTCCGACGAAAATGTAAGGTAGACCTTGTAGAATTCCCTTGTAACTGCTTGTTGATCGAGCTATTTCGAACTCCGATCGGAAATCAATGTCGATTAACAGCCTTTCGCATTCTATAATCACATCTATATATTCATATTCACCTATACATAAAAGAGATAAAATTAACCCTAAAAATTCAATTACAAATCGAATCAATCAAAAGATTATGAATTGATCGGGGTGCGTACCAGCAGGAATGGAAGAAGATTTTTCCCATTTGGATTTACAAATGGAAGCGTTGTAACCTAGGGCTATTAAACCCTTGGCGACGATTTTTCTCAAATCGTCTTTTCGTTTGCAAGATTTGTTGTTCTCCACGATTTTTGAAGTGTCTGCTAACAGATTTCGCTCCTCTACGCTCGCGCACGGAATCAGACTCTACAAAAATTGGCAATTGAAATATAGGTTAATCAACAATTTTGACAAATAAGTGTGAAATGGAAGATTGAACGGGAACTTTTGGTACCTTGAGAGTATCGGAGGGATCGTTGAAAGAAGAGCCTGGAGTATTGGAGTCAAAGAAATCAAACTCGTCATCGGAGCAGTCATTGCTGTTACCATTGAAGCAATTGCAGCGGTGACGGCCGTATTTTGCGCCGGCGGGTCCTGATTGCTTCTCGTTATCTTCGATGAAATTCTGAACCATCTTATCCAGACAAATCGAGCTCGGCTCTAACTCAGGCACGGCGACAGCAGCGGGAACTCCTCCATCTTTCTCACCTCCAGTGCTTGGCTTCTCAGTTGCTGAAATCCTCAGAACACTGTTGAACTGCCTGTCGAAGAGACGTTTCAGCCTCGATTTCAACACCGGTGGCTTCACGACGTCGTTTCGGAACGATGATTCACTGTACAGCTGTGAATCTATCGGTTGAATTCTCATCGGAAAAGGCATTTCCTAAAAAGCTATACTCTACTCAGTTGAATTTATAGAGATAACACTACTGCTGCACTAGCTTTGCGTACATACAATTAAAATCAAAACTCTCCAAAAAATAAAGAAACACCAAAAAAAACTTTCAATCACAGATTTCAGTGTCAACACTGAAAGCCTAAGTATAGAATCCCCCAAAATCAAAGCTTCATCTCCCAAAAGATCATGACAACCCCCCTCCCCCCCAAATATTTCACACTAACTACGAACAGAAATAAGATTTTCCATTACAAACATGAGGGTGATGGTCAGAGACATAGCATTGCATATGTGAAGTAAAGCACCGGAATTTTCTTTCCCGGCCAGAATTCTATCGCCGGTGAAAATGAGTAATTTCTTGATGACCATTAGCTAAGGATAATTGGGAATGGAGTAGGGTGTTTATATAGATATTGCAGACTTGCATTTTATTGACTGTAACTGGACTGCCACGTGGCATATTATTGGTAATGGATTAATCTGACGTCCGGGTTTTAGTTAAACGACAGCACTGTGAGATTTTTCTGGTCTCGACACGTGTCAAGTATAAATTACGAGATTATTATTAAAAAAAAAGGTTGAACCCCAACCTTGAGTACCTCCCACCGACCCTGCCTTGGGCCATTGTGGAGGAGGTAAATCGCAGGATGTGCCTCCCATGAGCCAGGGTGGAGAGCTTATGGATAGGCCTTGGACTATTAACCCTATGGTAACTCTCGCTTGCAACAAAGCCAATTCCATCTTGCGGGAAATCGACCTCTGCACACTACCGCGCTGCGCCCTAACCGCCTNTTTGCCACTGGGAGATATGCCCTGAGGGCAATTACGAGATTATTATTATTTAGCACCACTGTTGTTTAACGTGAGTCCAACGACAGCACTAATAACGTTAAATGACATGTTCAATTAAATGAATTATATAATTTCACATTTAATTGAACATATCATATAATGCCATATAGACTGGTGCATAGAACCACTTTGATAGATAATATTATTCTAAACTACGGAGTAACATAAACCAGAGAATAATATTAGGATAAACAATTTGTTTATTTTTATTAGTAAGAATTGCTTTATTTTTGTTTTTTCAAATTTTTTAATCTTTATTCTAACTCTTTTTTT